ATGAATGGAAGTCGGAACGAAACAGATAAAAAAAACTGACAGGGATTTAACCGTACCCTGCATCTAAACTGAAAAAAGTTTTAGATAGTGGATATTGTTATGTACTTTGGGTTGCCTGCACGTTAGTATGGCTCTCTTGTAAATCATTCTGGGAAACCCCCAAACCCAAGTTGCTCCACTATACAAACAAGCAACCAAATTATCTTTCTAATCATGATTTCAGGCATTATTGCACATTAACACTTGCTAAAATTAGGAGGGATTTTCACAGTGGAAGCTCACCCTATAATTAATTATACTATGAACATTAAACAGCCATATAAAAAACACATGTACCTTGGTAAACGCATAGCACCATGTTTGACATCTTTCCATTATCCAGTTGTCCAGAAATCAGCATTTAAAGCTACCTGCCAACCAACTCCTGGTGTTGCTCAGCCCCCTCATGCCATTTACATCTTATGATTGCCAAGCCTGCCTGGGAAAAGCTGCCTCAGTGCCCTGATGCCGTCAAAGGCCTGGATACCACAAGGTGGGCTCAACACCATCATGAGTCGCAAGGTGGCGGTGGTAAATGGCCATCAGATTGCTGGACAACCTGAACACAGACAGAAGTCAAAACATGCTACAATGCATTTATCAAGGTACAAGTGTTTTGCTGTTTAAAGTTCATAGAATTATTCTAGGGTGAAATTCCACTTTGAATAAAATCAATTAAAAATAACAGATTAAGAGGGGTTAGAATGTGTTAAGATGTGTAAGTATAACGACGGCACAGAAAACGCCAAACATGTTTGCAGAAGACTGAATTTCCACTTTTTATTGAAGCAAAAATTACAAATAAATAGCGTACAATTAATATATAACAAACATATACTTAGAACAAAGCTGCCAATTTCACTCCTCGAGGGCCAAAGCCAAGCAGGCACACTAGTATGCTTACATGAATTAGGCCTTCCTTCATTGTCAATTTGCTGAAATCCTAAAACCGTGTGAGGGTCATGGCCCTTGAGGTCTGAACAGTCAGCATTATCTTTGAAATTAAAAAATAGAAAATCTCTGTATATTTCTTAGAATTTACCTTTTCTATGACAACGGAGTCTGCAATGTACACTGAGAGACATTCTGACACATATAAGCCTAAAATACTTTCTTAAAAAAAGATTTTAAAAAATAGGAGAGTGCAAATCTCCAAGATCTCAAAAGTGCAATTCCACAGCATTTAACTCATTGCAAATAGTTTCAGAGTATTGCATAATGGCTGCACAGAACTGTCACAAAGGACACTGGAATAAGCCAAGTAAGCTTTACACTGAACTCACTGGAAGGCACTTCAAAAAATAAAGAGTTAAAGTGTATTTCCACCTTTGCAGTCACATTTGAGAACCCCCTCAATTTGTTTGTTATGGGTTCCTATTCACACAGCATACCGAAAAATATTTTTTTTAACAAAAAGATTTCTTACTTTAGTTATTTCTTTTGAGCAGAATTATACATAGGACTTTACGGGCGGCATCTATTGCTTTAAATAGATGGCAATGTGGAGATAAGGGACAGGCTAGAGGAATAGTGCAATAACATACAATGTACCACCCAAGCCTTGAGATGTTTAACCCTTTGTAATGACACAGTCTTGCGCATCCTAGTAAACTAAAAATCTGCCAGCACAGTACAGGCAGAGTTAATTATGGCAAACAATCCCTAGCCCCCTCAAAGACACTACATAGATAAGGAAAAACAAAGTAGGATTTTTCAGTCCTTGAGTTTTCAGAAAAGAGCATATAAAAAAAGGTAAGCAGCAATTTATAGTTATGCTATGTAAACAAGAATATATAACAAATTTAAACTAGGCGTTATCCCAATTTGGCTACAAAAGTGGAAATACAAAATGCACAGACCTTAAAATATTTACAGGTATAATTAACTTAAAAAAAATTAGAACATTATATTAACATTAAGATAATTAAAAATACAATTTATTGCATTCCTTTCCTAAGGCAACGGTGTCTAGGATCAAGGGATGATAGGAAAAGGTGTTCCACACCAATCAAGGAAGTATAACGGTGCAGTATTGTCTATAGCTTTTAGATATAGCTTGTTTAGTGTTTGAGGGGATAGCTTGCTTGTGCAATTGCACATCCCTAATTTTACATCTAAAAAGGAATAAGATAATAATGTATCCACATTTTTCTTCAAACCAGTACTTCACTTAGATATGGTGGAAGCACTGGAGCTTCATGGGAAAGATTTGCTGATTGGAGGGCCCATTCTGTCCCTACCACGGCTATTAGAACTTAGGTTCTGAATTACACAGGATACTGTGGCCTTCTGCAGCTTTAACCAGGGAGGGATGTACACAACCTTCTGCTTGAAGTGTATGTAAACCCTAACAGTAAACTTCTCTGAAATAGGAGTGTTGAAAAGGATCATGCTGACCATCTCAATGGCCTAACTGAACTTCAGAATTAAGACTATGGTGTGTTTTTTTAACAAATTCCAGTAAACAAAAGCCAACTTGCACCTAGGCATTCCCTTTTTGTCAAATCTAAAGAGATAAAAAAATACAATGAATGCATCATTTTATTACACACATACCAGCATATATAGAAACCTGAGAAGATATATGATATGTATTGCCTCTCAGACTAGCTCCCTGTACTAAGTAACCTCAGCAATGGTTTATTTATGCATGGTGCACACATCACTGGTGAAAGCTCTAACTCATTTTTACCTGAAGATAAACTTTTTAGTCTTTTTTTTGGACCGTATACATTGACTCCAAAATTCCTTTACCACAACTGGATCACATACTGCCAAACACAGTATGTCTAGCTTATTGCTTTTGATACAGATAATAATGCAAGTCTGTGAAAGGTACTGAACAGGTCTTGAATATGAGCAGTTTATTCTACTTAAAGTAAACCAGTCATTAAGGTATTATGGGGGGCTGCCATTACTGACCTCCCTCTGAAAATTCCAGATGTCTGGTTCACAGACTTTGATGCGTTCTAAGTCAATAAACCGGAATAAGTATCAGGAAAGACAAATGAAAAGTGAGAGGTGCTTACTTGTTCCATGTCAATGACTCATTATTAAAGCCAAAGGGTCAGTGTGACAGCTAGGCAACTAGCATTTTCAAAAGTTGTCAGCAATGGCAGTGTCCAAGTTATACTTATGACAGGTCTCCTTTAAAGGGTCAGTACATCCAAACTCTATTCATATTTAGCTAGATTAGTGTGTGTTTAATGCCAACGTTTTACCACTGTCAGAACTTCTGTTAACAAGTTACCTGTTCCTAACATAGCAAATCCATCCTCTGGGCACTGCCATTATAACAGTTGGATTTTTTAATTCCCTTTAAAATGTAGACAATGCAGCAGGAGCAGTGAACATCCATGAAGTAAAAGGCAAGGTAGAACCACACACTCCAGCAGCAAAAACCTGCAGATTGAGTCACTTATAGGTTCAAGCCAGCAAGTGATACAGCCTGTCATCCGCATATAATCAAAATTCAAATTTTATGTAGACTGAAATATTATTTGCCAAATACTCACATAAATGACAAATTAAGTAATAACTGCTTCTTACAAAATTGATTTGAAGGTGATCTCACTCTGCTGCTTTGCAATAAATGCGGCTAGGCCTTAAACTGTACCTTTGCTTTGCTCATTCAAGAAAGCAACGGGTTCATTAAATGCCTTACCTCCCCTTAAACTCACGGTCTATTCCCAGCCCTCTGGTTGCCTAGAGAAAACAGAAATACCCGGGACCCCAGGTATGGGAAGCATGTCAGTACCCCAGGTATGGGAGCCAGATCATCCAGAAGGCAACTTAAGCTGCAGCAAGGGTCCATGGATCTCCAGAGGTCCCAGCTACAAGAAACCTGGTCCTACAGAAAACAAGACAGCACAAGTAGTCTAAACTCAATTTCTGCCTTTCACTTCTCAAGGGAGGATGCAGCTGAAGGCACTTTGTGTCTGATAGAGCCATGTTAATACAGACAATGCAATGGGGTAACTTCTTTGTGCATATTGCAATCAATATCAAGGTCAAATCGAAAAGATGAGCGAGGACAGAGCTACCAACTTGCCTAGGGCCCCATTGTGCCTTAATCCTTCTCTGCTCCCTTTCCTTCCATGATACAGTGCTATGTCAGAGCAGCCAATGGCCAGACTATCACAGTCACGCAGGGGTGGAGAGCCAGAAGCATTAACTGTGTGCGAGGTCCAACCAGATCAAGATGGAGCTTTCTCTTTTTGCTCTTTGCTAACAGTGTGATGAAGGGTGTCTGGAAAAGAAGCTACAATTCAGTACCACAGTATGGGCAACAAGTTTCCTTTTTACATTGTTTTAATAAATAGGCTATAATAATAAGAAAAAAAATATCAGTTTGTATATATTTACCTATAAATTTTAGCTTTTTAGGGGGAAAAAAATAACTGAATTTGCTTAAAGAAATAAAAATAAAAAAACCCCCCACATAATGGAATGTAACATCATTTTCTTCAAAAGTGCAACATACATGACAGCACCAACAAACGAGTGGATTCAGGATAAAATATTGTCTTAAGAAGGCTACGTTAGTCTGGGCTCATTTGAAAGGTCTCCATTCCACTGCTTTATCATTGTGCGTTCTAACAGGCTAACAGAAAAATCTTCATGAACGCTGAGAGGTAGACGTCATATATATCAAAGAAATTCTGCAAACATTTAACACTGGCAGAAGAAAAGTACAAAATGGTGTAGAAGTAATGGTGTCATGCTGGTGGGCTTCATTTTTCTGATCTACTACATTTTCAAGCTTGTGAGTCCAGATAGAAATAAATCGTTAGTCACTTGGCTTCTTTTCCATACAACAGACTTGGCATACACGTTTTGGACCCCATTGCAGCTGCAGTACTTAATGGATCTTCACCGTGATGGGCCTGATTGCTCTGGACTGTATGTACAGCTCTTGGAATTTCGTTAACTTTGGTAGTTCTTTTTTTTAGCTGCTGTCCTCATATCTCCAACAAACCTCCCTGCCCAGGACTAGTAGATGATCTGTCTTGGCTAGAACCTACAGGGGATCCTTCTGTTGCCCCAGGACCTTCTTCTCCTGGTCCTTCCACAGCTCCTCCACCACCATCACCCTGAATACTGCCTTCCTTTGTTCCATTTTGCTCAGCATGACTTCGCTGGTGCTTGCTCAGGTGATCACTGCGTGTAAATCTTTTTGCACAGAGAGGACATGTGAACTTTTTCTCACGAGTGTGGGTGCGCACATGTCGCTCAAGTTCATCACTGCGTGTGAAGCGCTTGCCACAGAATAGCCAGTTGCAGACAAAGGGTCTTTCTCCTGTATGCCAACGAAGGTGAGCCTTGAGATGAGATGCTTTGCCATAGACCTTACCACAGCCTGGAATATGACAGCTATGTACAGGTTTCCTCTTCAGCCCTGCTGCAGAAGCTCCTAACCTCTCTAGTTCCTGGCAATTTGGGCAGTCACAGGATGGACGTCCACTATTTCCATATGCTCTTTGAGGCTTTAGAGGCCCTGGACCCTCAAGCAATGGACTAGCAGTAAGAAGTTTTGGCTTGTACATATCTGGCCCCAGTGAGTGCTGAGATGGTGATAGAATATGAGCCGATGGTGAAGGACTAGATGAAGGTGATATGGATGGAAATCCTACTGGTTGGTATGTGGCAGGTGTCAGTGTGGTGTACTCAGCAGTGTACTGGTTACTCATACCTGCTGGGCTTGTCACGGGTGGCATAGATGCAGTTAACCCATCTGGCTGTGGCTGGTTGCCTAGCCAGTTGCTATTAGGGTGCATATCCCACCAAGAGCCTCCTGTTCCAGTGGGTGAACCAGAGATTCCTGGATGATGGATTCCGGTTTTGTACCATGAGCTGTAAGGATGGCCTACATCTAGAGAGGTGTACACTCCTGGAACACACTCAGCTGTTGAAAGACTCTTGGGCTCCTGGCACCCTGAAGAAGGAAAGGAATGGGAAAAAGAAGTGTAGTCACTACCATAACTTGAAGGAGCAGGAGGTGTTCCACACTGCGTCATTAAATTACTTCCTCCCAAGTATGAAGAGGAGTATCCGTCCCCCATCAGTTTAGTGGCACTAAAGTCGTTTGTAGGACTGTAAGACTTTTTTGGTCCAGATTTCGCTAATGATGGAGGATCCCTAATAGGACTTGAACCTCCAAACTTGTTGCAAGCAGCTGTTAGCATTGCTAGGGGACTGGAGACATATCGGGCTTCTTCCTGAAATATAAAATATAATTCCTATTAGGAACACAAAATGACAAAATACAAATAGCAGCAGACTAACTATTTATCAAACAAAGACCTGTCTTTGGTCTGACATGGACACTAGAGTACAAGTGATAAAGACAGTCTGAAAGCCAAGACAAATGTGCACACTTGTAGCTAGGTGCTTGCCTATTTCTTCTGTTGTAAAGAAAGACACGTGTGGGCATTGAATTGTGTGACAAACGTGGAATATTTTGAAACATTGCTCTCTTACTGCAGATCCTTCAAAAATACTAAAGTTATGCACCAAGCACGACTGCCTCAACTGTGTGTTAGAGAACTCCTTACTCACCTGAATAAGGAAAAAAACTTTGAACACAGTGGAGCAACAGTGCAGGTCACCCACACTGGACACTGAAATTGTCAGAATAACAGAACAGAAATATATTTTTTGAAGGTTTATGTTACACAAACTTAAACCACAATATATGAAGGTAGCATGATTTAGCTAAACACGGGGCTATGGCTTGATAGAAAAGGTGCTTATGACCATAGATAGAACTTGGAATCGAATTTCACTTTCCCTTACTTGGTCTACTAAACATGGATTTATGGATGCCCCCTATTTGTTGTCTATGGAAAATCCAATAAAACCACCATGTACTTTATTTACAGAGGTAATATTCTGTAATATTTGATGGCTGTGCTTTTGGTCACTTGGGTTTAGACACTGCGGTGTATACTTGTTTTATGGTTAAACTTCACACAGACGTGTCTCTGTATGTACAAATATTCAGCGTCTCAGGGGTAAGCATAGCTAAACTATTGCTACCACAGTCCACAGCCTGCAAGCAATAGTTTAAACACTGACCTGGCAGACACCATCAAATAGCTACAGGCTGAATAAAAGGTGAAATGCACTGCAGACTTTAATATCAGCTATACCTCTAATAATAATAATAATAATAATAATTTGGAACACTGCATAGCAAGGAGGGGGAATTAATTGTTAATTATTATTGTTATTATGGAATACAGCAGAGTCACCTCCCAGCCCCAGCTTGTTGATAGGACATTCAAAGAATAGCAGCACACTTACTAGGTCATCTCTCTGTTTCCCCCTTACTGCAAGTATGTTCACACCATTAATTAGGCAGCATTGTGCACTGCAATAAAGCCCAGTGTGGAGCTCTATTGCAAATCTAACAGATTCCTCCATCCACAGTAAACCATGTAGATCAGTGGTCTCAAAGTACCGGCCCGTGAGCCGGTACTATGTGGCCAGCAGCCAGCTCACAAGCTCACAGACCACGTACCAGACTTGCGGGAGCAGCTACACCGTCTGCATCTCTGTCAGATGCAGACCGCATAGCTGCTTGTGTGCCGGCACTTGGATCTTTTCGGCCAGCGTTCAGTAAACGATGGCCGAAAGGATTGATTGGTGAGGTCTGCAGCAGACCTTACCAATCGACCACTAGATCACCAGGGATCGATCGGGCTTCCTAATTGTGTGTGGGTGGGTGGGACTGGATTAAATATATATATATTTTTTTTATTTTTTTCCCCATGTGTATTTTTTTTCCCATGTGTATTTTTTTTTCTGCAGCAGGAATGCCTAATCTGGCGTTTAAAAGCGGCAGCTGTCACCTATTCAAGTTAATGATCAGGTGACAGCAGTTGCACGTAAACGCCTGCACACCGCATGTAATGGTAGGTAATATGATTATATTCGGTTAGGAATCAATCTCTCTCCCTGGACGCATTGATTGTGTGTTCTAACTGCATGTAATAATAATCACATACCATCACATGCGGTAGCAGGCGTTTACATGCAGCTGCTTGTCACCTGATCATCAACTTGAATGTGTGACAGCGGCCACTTGCAAACACCAGATTAGTGTTTCCTGCTGCAGCAAAAACGCAAGTTCGTGACACAGAAACCCAGAGTGAATTGAGTTGAGTGAATTGAGTTTGAGACCCCTGATGTAGATAGATGAATTTCCCCTGCCACCATCAGAATACCTAAACAGTGACAGCAGCCGATAGTCACTGCTCATCTGACAATTTTCGGCCTGGCTCCTTTGACAAAAGTCCCCTGACTAATCAACTTCTGTCAAACCAGCCACCCACTGTTAGAATTTCAGCCGATTCAGCAAGATTTCACGTAGAGTATGGCCATCTTAAAACTGCAGGCCGTCCCTCTCCTAGTCCTCCCGTGCATGGCATTCCAGGAGCCAATATAAACATCAGAGGTACTTATATTTGCTATATTTAGATACAAAATGTAAATCATTTTTTCAATAAATACAAAACTCTATTTAAGACGTTTATAATAATATGTACATTACATTGCATTTTTATTTTTGGTTTTCCAAACCTAATGGTCTATATTCAGACGCCAGATGTTTGCAGTTGAGAATTCATCTAACGTGGCAGGGCCAGAATCAAGCTTCCAGACAAACAGAAGACAAAAAGTTGTGAACTTGGCTTAAATATCTAAATAAAAGAGCCCCCTCCCAGCACCACACACACTGCGCCTTCATATAAAACCATATTGTGGAAATGTGTGAGGGCACTGTCAGCCCCGTACTAAGAACATCTATTTGTCCTATTAGGTTACTACACGGTGTTTACAAGAATGAAAGAATACCATCCCTATATATAGGTGTTCCACAAATAACATTAGCAACAAATTTCTGGGGTTTATTGACCTCAAAGCGCGGGCTAATATTTGCTAAGCCAGCGTCTGAGGCTGCTTATTATCCACAGAATTTCAAGCATGTCCTTGCTGGGTTTATACAATTTATTTTTAATATCTCATGATCCCACCCAAAACGTATCTCCACCTTAGTTTTAAAAGTGTGAATTTAAAAATATCCCCTACAAATAAACGGAACTTGGGTCTTGTTTAACCATGAAGATACTAGAAGATTTCTTCTGTTTGCTTGTACTTTATACCAGTCTTACTGCAGCCTATTTATAATATTTTCCACTAACCTTCCGATATATTGGTAAATAGAAAATGGTAATTCTAACAAAAGCGATTCATGAAGTGGCCATATGCGTATCGATATGATCGATCAGTGCGACTAGAATGATCGGACCGAATACAAATGGTAAACCAAAGAGCACCCATTTAACCCATTTACTGAGCTCTAATTTGATTTTGACTTTGCTAAAACTGTTGGCTATTGCGGAATTTCATTGATTGCTTCTGACTGAACAACTACCATTATCTGTGTTGGAGAACTGAATGTGATTCGGACCAATTTAAAGATTAACTGCTTTTATACTGATCTATTGTATTTTCAATATTTTCAGTTGCTTGCAAAAATGCAGAACAATACCACTTGTGTTGCACCACTTAATATTTTAATCAATCATAGGCTACTCATAGACATAAGATAGTCCCAGGGATAACCGCCACACTCTATTTGTAAGGTAACTGCCCAGGTGCTCATCCACAAAAACATCCATACAAATCCAAACTAGGGACACTCATGGACCATGAGTGCCTCTATACCTACTTTTGGATTTGTATAGACATAAAACATTAGTATTCATAGTACAAGTCCTTGTAATAGACTAAAAGACACCAGAAAACTCAATCTGCAGAGCTAGAATTTCGTGCGTTTTAGAAGCCTTGCCTAAGCTGCAAGCCGTAACTTGGTGCTTACACAATACTAAGGACTCCCTTGCTTACACAATACTAAGGACTCCCT